AACTTCATTTTTGAATGCTTTTTTACTCAGTTGTGTTAATTAGAGAGCGATATAAGTAGTGTAATGAATCGAATGGTCATTCCAGATGTCCTGAAAATCAAAGAATTAAAGCTGATTTGATTCTGAATTTTCGGTAATGAAGAAACTAACAGCTTCCATTACTTTTGCATTTTCTGCTAATTAAACGTCAACAGAAAAATAGGTTTTTTTCAACTGAAAAAGTAACTTTTCTTTTTTTTTTAAATTTTTTTTAATTTGAAACGAAGTCTGTTTCACTTTTTTACTAGTGAAAAGTAAGTAAATTTTGTGGATACTTGGGCGGCTGGATCAATCGCCCAATCGAGCAGGCGTCAGAAGCTCAATGCTTATCAATGAATTTCAATGAAAATTCGATTGGTATAGTTAACTGTTCATTTTATATCAAGGTTAATTTTAACTTTAATTTCTATGATATAATTTCACTGTCAATTCATTGCCAAATGGAAGGAACTTGATATTCACTCCTCCTGCTCATTCACCTAAAGGATTTTAAACGCAAAATGTTTTCGTTCGTACTTTTCATTGATTCTAAATTTCAAATTTTTTGCCTTGTTTTGGGAAAAATGTTATAGACTTGTATTTTCACCAAATCTCATAATCATTTTTTTGTATTTCCAACAGCTTTTAAATGACAAGTTGTTCTCAGTTCGTCGAGACTAACTGTGATCTGTTTAGGTAAATTAAAATTTATGGTTCTTTTCTTTTTCATTGAAGTGGAGTTCTGAATAGAACATCAAGTAGCGAATGAAGCGCCAGTACTTCCGAAAAATGAATTATCAGGTTCTTTTCATTCCATGATTTCTTCAGTGATTTGGCAATGAAATTATATCACAGAAATTAGACTTGGAATTATCTTCGATATCAATTGAATTTTGTCGAGAGCTATGAATTTATGAACTTCGCTGTCATCTTAAATCGAAATAAGCGAGAATAATTTTCTTTACGAATATTTGCTGATTGCGAAAATTTCTTAGTAATGTTTTGTTTGCGACAAAACAAAAAATACCTAGGTGTACCAGGCGAATTTTCATCGAAATTCATTAATAAGCTTTGAGCTTCTGATATCATCTTTATTGGATATTTGATGAAAACTGAAATCTTATGGTGGGTGGAATATCGAGTACCTCCGGTTATAAATAAATAATGGAAAGATATTGGAGTTGAAGTTTGAAACGACGATCTTTAAAACTATATATTGGAAGGTGTTTGCAAAAATTAGTCTCTTTTTACTATTAAAAAATGTTATTTTGTGACGTGCATGCAGCTATCTTACACTTCGCATGCAAAAAGCAATTCATCAAGCAGAGTTTCAATATTTTAAACAGTATCAGTAGAACATTTCTCATGTATTATGGAAAAACTTTGAAATGGTAGAATGCAGTGCAACAGTCTTCGCGATTTTGCAAAGATTACTGACAATTTAACGACTAATTGGTCTGTTCAAGCTTCACTACTTTAGTTTTCTCGAATAGGTTGGATAAATGAAGTTCTGTGAGAGGCATTTTTGAATTTAAGGCATAACTTAGTCAAAGTTTGGAAAAGCTAATAACGGTCACGCGAGTTGTTATCAGTAGCATTTGATTCAGTATGAGAAACTGCAAGTCCCGAACTTGTTTTTGCAATTACTTGCTAAATTTGATCGGAACAGAGAGAGCTTTCAAACATTGTTTATTGCTAAGCTGACTTCGATATTTGAAAGCCAAATTATCATTTGGAAATAACAACGGATAATAAGGGACGTCGAATTCGCGATTATCCATGGACAGCAACCTTCTTACTTGAACGGTTGTACGTTCCGGTTCTCATTTATTTTTTGCATGAATAATAAACGTTCATGGAAAATCGACTTTACTTATTTGTGTGTAAACAAAACTGATCTATGAATTGTAATTCCATACCACTGTTTACTGTTTGAAGTTTCATCCATATTTTTTCATCAACAAACGAACTGAAACCAATGAATTTGTGTTAGAGTGCTAAACTACATTTTCAGTGATGCTTCATATATATTCGACTGTATCCCTCATACTTATTCTGCCATCCCGGATATGCACATGCATGCTTTTTCTCATCTGAAAAACTCCTCTTTTAACATTTGTATTTACTTTGGTAATTAATTAACATAATTGGAAAATTAATTGCAAAATTATCAGCAGCACAAAATAAATTTATCACATTACATTTCAATCAACTTAGTGGACGAAAAGCTCTTTACTCGTTTTACATATATTAAAATAAAATAAAAAAACAAAGAACTTGGTCTTAGTACTACCTTTATTGGAATGTTTCGCATGACGATGACAAAATCTATGTCGGTTTTCGTTTCTTTATTGCCTAAATCTTCAACTTTACCAATACGAATGTAACCAAGGAAAATTAATTTTGAGTATTGAATTATTTTTTAATTCGATTTCCATTATGTCCGTTAATCTAAAATTTTTCTTAGTAACCTTCAGATGATATCAACCATTAACATTAGAAGTGATAATGCATTGAGGGATGATAGTGTATGATCGAAATGAAATTTGTTCATGCTAATAACAATTAGCTCTTTTAAGGAATACTTATCCTGATTTTATTAGTATCTTCATCTCTTTTTTCATATTATTAGCAAACCTGTTTACGAATCTTTTTATAGAACGATAGCGGAAATTATTTAAAGTATATAATATGGGAAAAATGATTGCTTTTGATTATATTAATAATATATTTCAATTTTTTTCTTTTAGTGTTTTTAAATTGATATTTAATAATTTCAAATTTTAAATAATAATTTTCACTTATTTACAGTTAGTCCTATAGAGTGTTTAATTGGAATTAAATTCTAATTTTTGTAAATTCGTATAAAATTTCTTGCTTGATAGTAAACAATGGTTGAATTATATTATTATGAAAACATGCTAATGAAATGTTTTGAATGTAGCAAAGAATTTGGTGGACATAAAACATCAACGAATATAAATGACCATATATTTGCAGAATGTTTTGCAAATGCATTTAAAGTTATTACTCATTTTAATATAATTATAAAATCAAAAATTTTGTTAATTACCACCACTTATTAGCTTATTGTCATCCATCAAAGCAAATGTAGGATGATGCTAAAAATCACATTCAATTCATTGTTTAAATTTCTTAAAATATACTAAAATAAGATATTAGAATATCAAAAATAATAAACTTATTTATTAGTAATAACGTTTATTCGGCATAATTATTATTAAAATCTTTTTTTCTGTGTAATTACATATTTAATTCACAAAATTGAAATTTTAACATAAATTGAATTATTGAACGATTGAAAGTAAATAACTTCATGAAATGCAAACAAATCCATCAGAAATAAAACTTTTGAATCATTTATTTCAGTTTTTTTTTTTTTTTAGAATCAAATCAATATTACGAATGCAAAAAATGAGCTTCCTTAAAAAGTCGTTTCGAATTACATTCAGGTAATAATATCCCATTCAGGTAATAATATCTTTTCACATCTTCCACAGTTATAAATCCATCATTGTCAGTATCCATCTTCCAAATTTAGTCATATAATAAAATTTTTTCTTTTCTTTTTTTTTGGGTAAATATACAATAAGTAATAAATACAATATGAAAGTAATAAAAACGAAAAATAAATTGAAGAAATAAAATTTGTCTATTAATTAATTCATTCAATTTCAGCTATAATTTCAATATTTTGTCGTTGATAAATCATTTATTGTTATCATTACACTTTACAATCACTATTACTAACATTAATTACTTTTGTTATTGTCTGTTAACATTATTATCATCATTATTCTTTTTATTATTATAATTATCATTGTAGGTATCATTAAACAAGAATAGTGTTGTTATCGAAAAAAAAGAAGCTAACATTAGGATATTGTGTAAACATACCTTGAAATATCGCATAACATAATATTTGAAATTTGGTGATAATTGAAGTGACATCGATGGATTACTATCATTGCGATCATTATGATCACTATAAATATGCATTTGGTTAAATAACTGATCCAAATTATATGCCATAAATGTGACATTTGAAACTGTACACAGCTTCAGCATAATCTTTAAAAGCACTCAAATTTATTTGTTCCTAAAAAAAATAAATAAATACAAAAATACATAATAAATAGAAATGAAAATGAAATATTTTGCTTAGACAACAAAATTTATTTTGCAAAATTTTTGACAATTTTTTTTAATTAAAATAGAATTGGAATTAATAATAATTTAAAATAGCAAATTACATTTATCAATGATCTGTTTAGCTATCAATTCAAATTACGAAGAAAAAACAGCAACTGATTATTGTTACTTGTACCTGTACATGTACAGGTATATGTATATACACATGTACTTCTTAATGAATGATATTTTCAATTAAACTACATTTATTTCATGCTTTTTCTTTTTTTTCTTGACATGGTCGGCTAATTGATGCAAGTAATTTAGATTGATATGATCAATCGATTTATGCAAATTAGATGTGTAAATGAATATACTTGATCATCTGGTTCCATTAACAGGAAAACAAATTGCGCAATTCGTGAAAAATGAGCCGATGAATTTTGAGAACTTGTCGATGCATAAGTACAATAACATTCACTTATTTCATGTAAGCATAATATTAATTCCTAAAAAATAAAAAACAAAAATAAAACGAACTTATTCTAATTTCAATCATGCAAACTAAATTTGTTAAAATGTTTTATAGTTTAGGCATATTAGCTATGCATTACTTAG